CTAAGATGAAATTCATCTCTTATACAGGTTGGCGCCTACCGCGACCCAGTGCATATGCTGGAACTGGATCATTTACTAAGAAGCAGGTGGTTCGAGCTGACTATTCATTGTTCACTTTATCTCATTCTAATTCTGTCTTAATATCAAACTGAACTTGAGTGCTTTGATATCTTATTGAAATGCTTTGCAGGTGCAAGGACTACTGGAAGGAAAGGCTCAGAGAGGAGCGCGCTGAGATGTTGAAGCAAGCCAAGCAGTACTGGGAGAAGCAGACCATAACTGCTTTGGGATACTGACTCAGTTTTTATTTTTCTGTCTCTGTTGCATTGCCCAAAATCTTCAGGTAATACTAGCCTACTAACTTTGACAGGAATATGCTTACAAAATGATTTGTTGCTCAAATAATCCTGTAGAAATTATGGTTTTTTATTGAATCATATGGCTGATTCATGCTGTCATTGGACTTTCAGTTGTTAATTTTAGAAATTTTATGTTCCAAAGAATATAGAATGTTCTTTGGTTTTATTTGAATTGTGATTTTTGTCTTTTTATTTACTATCTTTATATATATATATATATATATATAACGCACAAAAGATGTAAAATTTATCAAGTGTTTTTAAATACATGTTGATTATTAAATTTAATAATAATTTAATTTTTGCCATATGTATTAAGAAGGGGCATTTAGATACATACGATGTATTTACTTACATAGCTCCTAAACTTTATTTCTTACATATATGCCACCCAATTCTCTCAAATCACATAAAAAATTTTCTTTATTATAACTTTAAACAATAAAGTAGAGCTTTTTGTGTATTGTTAAGGTGACATATACGTAAAAATTGAATTTTAGTTTGGTATGTAAAAGCATGAAAAATAAGTGGTATGGATGTAAATCTTCAGAAAATAAATAATCAGTTCATGTAATTTCACCCGGTACATGTTAAATGTAATGCTAAGTATTTAGTATCAAGGTTTATGAAATTCAGTTTAAGAAAATTTGGATGCTTTTATTGATGGTCAATTGATGTTAAAAGGCATAGAAATTATGTAAACCATTAGCTACAATGGTATTTAGGTGTTGGATCTAAATATGTCCAGTGGATTGCACCCAAGGTATAGAGCGTTGTACAGATGAGAGAAACAGAGAGA